ATTACAATTTTAAGATCCCTCTTAATAAATACTAATTTTTTTAGGTCCTTCTCATTAATTTTCCCAAAAAATTCACAAAAGAGTGTATTAAAAGAAAACAATTTTTTTAAAAATCTGGGAAATATCGATAAAAAGAAATAAATGCCCTTCAACCAAAAGCCCATGTGCCTTCCATTTTATGAAATCGAGAGCCTTTGCGTTGTCTAAATTAGGCTGCCTCAGCAGGTAAGACAATAAAGCTAGGGCTAGTAATATAGGCCAATCCGCGGGTCGTGGATTGGTCCGTGACGGGTTGAACCCATATGGATCAAGCTAAAAAAGCTTGTTTGAAGGCGGGTTGGCTTTTAGCCAACCATAACTTGCCAGCACTTATTTATTATTTTTTTGAATTTTTTTTACTTTTTAATATTTTTTGTTATACAAAATCCAAAAATAATAATAAAATTTTTTTCCTTGAAATATTTGATTAAAAGTGCCAAATAAATTATATAGATAATTTTTTTTAATTTTTAGATAGGATATAATATATAATAATATAATTATAATAATTAATTTTTTAAAAAAATAAGGGTTAGCCCGTGAGTTGGCGGGCTTGGCGATGAGGGTTAAAAAGTCTTGTTTACTGGCGAGTTATTTTTTACAGGTTAGCAGGTTGAATCCGCAAGTTCAACCCATATTATCAACTTTAAATAAAACGAAAATATTTCCAATTTTTTATGTTTTTATGAAGATGTTAATTTTAAAATTTTGTGCAAATAATAAATACCAAGTATTTCCAGGCCAGGAAAAAAAACCAAAACGAAAGAGATAAATAATTTAATATTCTGTCTATCATGAATGATTTTATCATTTCTTCTGTTTTCCTATATATTATATTATTTTATTAAACCAAATATTATGCTGTATATAATTACAAATTACAATTTTTTTGGCCATCAAACAAATGGAATGGAAACCAATGTAATTTTATTATTTGATGAAACACTGGAAAAATTGAAACCACTGTAAATAATAAAAAGTAAAAAATAATAATCAAAAGAAATAAAAATAAGTCAAAAACCTGTTAAAAAAACTAACGAAAAGTTGTTAAAAATCAATGCCTTAAATTTTTAGACAATATTCCTATAAAATAAAATAAAAATATATTAATAATTATTTTATCAGAGTCGAACCAATAAACTTCAAACTAATATTAATATTTCTATTAATTCAATAACTAATCACCCTCTTTTCTTTTTGTTGACCTCAAAATGAAGGAGAAAGAACCATGTCCATGAAATAACCAGTCCACTTTTAAAATATCAACAATCAACAAAGAAGTTAATACCTTAATGTGTTAATGTAACAATCAAATCGCATGGTCATAATTTTTTTAAAAGTTACTATGACCGGCAAGTGCACGACAATAAAGCCAAGGGTCTAAGTTACATATACTCTTTTTGGTATCCAATATCAATCATTTTAGAGAGGGTTCCTAAGGTCCAAAATATGAAAATATAAGTAATATAAGAGAACATGTGAATTATTAAATGATTTTTTTGGTCAATGACCCTCCTTAAGTAATTTCCTACTCCTAAGTATAAAAACTCGTAAAATAGTTATTTTAATTTTAAATATAAGATTTTAATATATTTTATCTTTTAAATTTATCTTTTTTTTTTTTTTTACTAATTCTCTCTTAATTGCACGTCTTAAGAGAATTTTTCATCAATGGGATAATATCTAATATAAAAGGGTGAATGTTGGAGTAATGATAAATATTGCTGGCATATAACTTGAGATGATAAGTTCAAATTCTGAAACAGTCACTATACTTGCAGGCTAGATTGCTTACATACTCCTCCTCTAGTCTTATTTATAAGGCACTTCCAACACGTTTCACACAGACCAAAAAAAACTTTAAACTTCTTTAACTCTCATTTAAAATTTAATGACTTTCCAACTTTATCCCTATTTAATATACATTATACTTCATATAAACAAAGTCAATACAATAATAAATGAATGGTAAAATTGTATATCTATGCAAAAAATTCTCTCAGTACCTTATAAATAGGACCAAAAAATACCTTCTCTCTCTGCCCTATAAATAGGACCAGAGGAGTATCATTCAATAAGAAACAAATCTAAAAGGTAATTTAGGAAATAAGAGGTGTTTGGATAGAAACCAAACCATGGTTTCAGAAGTGCTTTTACGGATTACGAAATAAATATGTGAAGGAGGTTATCTCGTTTTGCGAAAAAGTATTTCTGAAACCGCGGTTTTGAGAATACCAAACACCTCTTAAATTACCTTCATTTTTTTTCTTTTTTGTGTGGTGGTTAATTCCTACTCATATTATTAATTTTGAAATGTTAAGTTTGGAAGGTTGGGGTCACGCCACTTGAGTGCGTGAGGAACTTGGGATAAAAGGGCTTGTGGCAGCCACACACCTCAATGACCACCAATAAAGATGTGGCGATAACAGTTGATAAAAACCGACGAACCTCGTCCTGCCACGTGGCGGATAGGATTTCCATGCCACTTCACTTCAAAACCCCGTCCCCTCTCAGATCTCACCATTCTAATTGTTCTATCTATCACACAGTTGGCCCAATCCCTCCCTCTGTCAATGGCCACCGCACCAGCTCTCTCCGGTACCGTCTTCAGCACCTCCTTCCTCCGGCGACAGCAGTCGGCGGTGAGCCTCCGCGCTTTTCCTCAAGTCAACCGGGCTCTGTTCGGCGTGAAGGAGACCGGCAGAATCACGGCCATGGCTGCTTACAAGGTGAAGCTCATAACCCCTGAGGGACCTCAAGAGTTCGAGTGCCCCGAGGACGTCTACATTCTGGACCACGCGGAGGAACTCGGAATCGACCTTCCTTACTCTTGCAGGGCCGGATCGTGCTCTTCTTGTGCCGGCAAAGTAGTCGAAGGCACGGTTGACCAGTCCGACGGAAGTTTCCTTGACGACGAGCAAATGGATGGCGGATTCGTCCTCACCTGCGTCGCTTACCCTCAGTCTAATGTCGTCATTGAGACTCACAAGGAGGAGGAGCTCACCGCTTAAGTTTGAATGTCGTTAATCGATTATTGTGTCTCTGTTATATCTTCTTCCTGATGTCTGATGCTGCTGCTGCTTCTTCTTCCTCCTCCTCCTCTTCCTCCTCCTTTTTGTTTAATTCGTATTTCTGAAGAAGAATCCAGTGACCTGCTTCTGTTCTAGTAGAAGAAACAACTGAAATTGTTGCAACTCTAATAATGTTTTCGCTTACTCATTAGTTTTACTCTTTCATATCAATTTTCTTTGTTCCTCCAGCTTTTTCCTTGTCGTTAACTTTTCTGGAAATTCATGTAGTTCTCTTTTTCTCTATCAGTGTCATTGAACCCAAGCTTTTAATGTGTCATTAGTTTTAATGTGTCAGATTTTATCGAAGCACATGCATATATAATATCTACAAGTCTCATAAGTTCAAGATAATTTGTACCCTAGGCTCAAGTAGCTATAAGATGTGTAGCAGCAAAATTTTCACCAAGTTTAAACAGCGGAATTGGTACGAAAATGTGAGCACATTACCAGAGACCTATACGGACGGGGGACTAATCCCTTTCATGAGGGAAAGTATATTTTTTTTTGCTACGCATAGTGAGCATCTCTCTCACTCAGAATTTAAATTCTAGTTCGTCATGAAGAATTAGTTCTTTTTTGCTGGACCAATTTTGTTGTTAAAATATAGCACTTCTAGTTCTTATTATCAGATTTTGTTTGACTTTTATTTTAGTTCTAAATATAAGATCTCAATTCATTTTGTTTATCATATTTATGTATTTTTTTCCCAAGATAGTCTTTCTAACAATAGTAGCTCTAACCGATACACTTGATTAGTAATGATATTTTAGGAAAGACAATACATATTTATTACAAATAACTAACTTAAATTTTTTTTAATCTCTTCAAATTAGTTAATTAGCTCTTATATTTGGGACTGGAAGTAGTATTTAAACGTAATCCATTGGACTAATATTGGAGAGTCCATATAGTATTTGGGCTTAGATGACAAAATGCCCATATTTTATTCCGCTTGAATCAGGCCCATATTTGTGTATGCCCGTTATGTGCTCGGCTTTCATTAATAGTTTTCCTAACAACGAAAATTGTGTGCGAAAGGAATTTAGTTCCTCATAACCCCACAAACTAATCTACTTTAATAATATCATAAAATTACTTAATTAATATTAAAGCAGAATATGTTGAATAGTCTGATAGGTTTAATTTATTTTGTATTTCGATACTTATACTTTTAATTGTTATTAATATGGATAGGTTTGTTTCATAATGTCTGATAAATAGTCCTCATGCTTGCTGCCCTTCACAACAAAAAGCATTAATCAAAAGCAAACCCATAATTATTAGAACACTGACAAATAAATTATTAGTAGCAAAATCAATTCAACTCAAATGCTTCTCCATTATGAGGATTATTTATTTAACTTTATAAAACCGGGGGGGGGGGATACAGAATGGCAAGAGTAGTACTAATTAAAATATAGAGGCCAAATTGGAAACTAAGTAAGACTTTAAAAACTAAAAGTTTATATTTTCTTTTTATTTTTAATTTCAAAAATTGATATATTTTAGTTTATTTTCTGAAAGAATTAATTAGTTATTTTTTAAAAATAAGTTAAAAATTACTAAATACTAAATAAAAAATGTTAATAAAAATTTATTGTCATTGATAAATTTAGTGTTATCAATACCAAATAAACTATTATTACCAAACCTAATTTAGTATTTAACAATTTTCAAATTCTTTTTTTTTGTCATTTTTCTTATTTTTAAACATTAAAATACTTTAATTATTAAAAATTCATAAAAAAAAAACTGTTGAAATAGAAAAATTATAAACAGAAACCTATTACAACATTAGTATGAGTTTTGACAATAATAATATCAATTTTGATAACAATTTTTGTGAACAGCTCCTCTGTATAATTTTTTAATTTTTAGGGTTTTTTTAAATGATTTTTACTCATAAAAATTAGATTAATGAATAAGAATTTTAATAAGATGAATTTTGAACATAGTTGTCACTGCTTCCCTCGTCCTCTACATCTTAAGCACTGCTCACGGTTCACGTCTTCTGAAACAAATCAAGAAGAGTCTCGACTTTTTCTTCACCATAGCCATTCTCAATACAAATTACTCCTCCTCCTCCTCCTCCATCATCATCATCATCATTGTAGTTATCTTGTGGCCGTGGACCAAAATCTACTATTGATTTAGACAGGTACTCATCAGCCTTCTTCTTTGAATCCTCAATCTTGAGCTGATCCACCGAAGTCACCGTTATCTGATTCAGCGATTCCATCGACGAGCTCCGTGTTAGGGTTCCGGACACCACCGTTATCTCGTCCTTCTCGTCAATGGTCGATTCCAGGGAACACACTGATCTTGTGGCATGTGAGTGCACGGAATCGTGTTTGGATCTCTGCTTCACTCTCTTGCGCCAACTATGTAGTGATTCTCTAACGCTTTCTGCTACCACCGCCTTCTTCCAGCGAGATCCCATCTGGAGTGATTCGTCAGAGAAAAATGTAAGAATTCTGGACTAACTAGTTATTGTTATTAGTTTTGGATTGGAATCCTGCAAGTTTCAGAGTGACCATTTTGAAGAAAGGATAGAAATAACTGACGAGATGAAATGCTTAATTGAGGGACACCTCTTGTAATATTGTACAATATGAAATTCATCATGTTAAACAATAAGACTGTCTTGACTTAGTGATCATGTGTGTTCCACTTGTATACAGATATATCAGAATTAAAAAAAAAAAAATCAGCTTTCACATGGATTTCTGGGTCTGGCCAAATAAAATCTCAGACACGATGGAACACAGTTGATCCCAAAAAACGGGGGGAGAACACCACAGAATAATGATTATACAATTGATTAAAAAACTTTAATGAATTAGTCAAAGTTCCATGAATAACGAAAGGTAATAATGGGAAAAAAAAATTAAACTTTGGACTGAAATGGTTGAAAATGTTATATTTCTTGATTTTCATATATTTAGATATACGAACTGATTAGAGAGAAAGTTAAACCAACCTGTGAAACTATGACATTCAGGGGTACTGTCATGTAGCTACACCAGAACTGAACAATAAGACTGCAAGTTCCATAATAAGAAAAATGTGAGGGGGTGCTGCAACTAATTTATTGTGGAATCTGGAAAGTTCATGTCAAGAGATGGCCAAGACAAACTATACACTATACTTTCTAAAATAAGTGTACCTACCCGGATGCTAACCGTATGATGATCATATATTGGTTTCTCATGAAGCATGATCGTTCTTTGAGACCCCACTATACAAACAGAAGTTCAAGGGGAAATTATAGATAAGAAGATTTATAGAACAGATTAATCCTAGCAGTGAAAGATAAAATACACATGTAAATATGCAGCCATAGCCACACCCCCTTGAAGGATTAAAACTTACCAAAGACCATATATATGTTGCCATTTCGAAGGCATTCTGCATGAACAGTGAAGAAAATAAGAACCAAATATGTAGAATAACCTGAAAAAGATACGATGTGAAATCTTAAGTTTGAACACACTTTTACCTGAAATATCACAAACTGTATCAACCATAACAATATCTCAGGTTTGTTGAACCAAAATAGATCGTCGCGTGGCTTTACTTGTGTCCCATCTGATGGACCTGTTTGTTCCCTAATCTCAAGTGCTAGAGTGGAAACAACATGCTGAAGTTTTGTCCCTATCAACATGACAAGCTTTTACATGTAGAATAATCAGACATGGATTGTAATAAAAATTTTGATAGATTGTTTCATTGAAACTATTGTGTTTTGTTAGCTCCACTTAGAAAAGAAAAATGAAACCAGAATATACTTACAATAACAGGAATAAAAGAGAGCCAAAAGTAAATATTCAGACCTGCGATTTAGGAATTTTAATATCTGAGAAATTTAAGCTCAAACTAGAACAATTTCCACTAATAGATTTGGATTGGGAGAAAAGAAGTTACCGTGAATGTTCACAAAAATGCAGATTATGGCATAACCCCAAAGTGGCCAACTGCAAGTCAACAATGGCAATTGTTAATGCTACGATCACACTACTACTAGGAAATGTTGAATCATCAATTGCTTGTCACTGCTGTTGATCTACAGTGTTAGTAAGATTTCAAGTTAAAAAACACCTGACAATAACCAAGAACGTCTTGTTCCAGGAAAGTTTTGACAATTTCTAGTGCTGATGATATTTTCCACTGCATGTTGTAGTCATTCATTTTTTTTGTTTACAGGTATGTTCTTATTATTTTTTATTCATCTCATCAATAATAGCTGCTCATTTAGCATAATAGAAACACTTTGCTAATGTTTGTAAATATTTTTATGTTACAGGTGGATCGTTTGGAAGTCTTCATTATGTTAAATTATATGTTGATTAACTGAAGCTAGTGAACTGTTTCAACATCGCAGCGAAAATTTATGTTTGTGCTCCCGCACCCGTACATTTTACTTGACATTAGAAAGCATAAGAAATTGATATTAGCATTGCAAAATCACTTGAAAGTTAAAAAGAAGAAAACTGTTGTATGAGAATGCTTACCTTATCCCTAGAATACCATGAAATTCGTCTTCCATGCTGCGAACCATGTAATTATGAAAGTTATACGAAAGTGGTAGTTTATGCTTCTGTAAATTTCAAAGCAGGAAGCAAGTTAGTCACTGGTGCAAAGTTCAGTTATCCAAAAGACGAGCAAATTGATGATTATATGCTATGAATGCAGCTGAATCTAAGCCTATTTCCTTCTTTTCTCAGAAAGCAAGATGGCCACTCAGTGAACTACTTATGATTAAATAGGTTTCTTTAAGAGAAGCAAAAGATGAAGACAAAAAACCACAAGGTATGTATCATTTTGTTATAATCCATTAAAAAATCAGAACAAAAAAGAAAATATTCTTAACAAATTAGATACTTACAGTGATGAAACCCTGACGAAGTGCAAGGTAGTCAGATTTTTGTATGGAACTCCGAAATTGGCGCAGAAAACAAAGCTGCAAGAGCAAGCTACAAATTACCAACAGTTTATAACAAATGGAACCTGTATAAGTCTGATATTTAGCAGAAAAGTTGCTGCAAAATTTTTTCCAGTGAGGTTGGCACCCTCTGAAAATTATTACTTTCCAAACCAAAGTATTTGATTCCAGGAATATAAAAGATCATTTGCTAATTAAGCAATGCAAAACATCAAGAAGTCAGCAAAAAGTTTACAAGTGATAAAGATTCAGAGTATGCATGATTCATATTTGATGATACATTACCATCCATATTAATATTGGACTCCTGCTCCATGGATGAGAAGTGTGATGAAAAACAAAGGTTGTTTGTCTCCTCATCACCTTGTTTTTCTTTTCTGTGAAATAAAATTAATAAAATGTTAATAATGATGATTAAACGCATCATAGAGAAACACTGGGACTCCATGTTTGAAAAAGTAGTCATATTGACAAAGAACATAAATCTTCTAGTGTAAGATAAACCAGAAAAGAAAAATATTACAGAAAACTGGAAAAGCTCTAGCATTAAATCACAATGCAGAATGAAGGTTTCTGTAATTTTAGCGATTCATTTGCTAATGTACCTGGTAGATTTCCTTCAGCTGCAATGCTGGCCTGGTTTTCCCATCTTCGCCAACTATAGATCTATGAGAACACATCGTAAATAGAAAATAAACCAGAGGAGCAATGGTCAGATGGCATGATGATGTAATCAATTGTTAAATTCTAAGGTCTTGTTTGGTATGAACCATTGAGAATGAAAGATAAGGATTGAGATTGTGATTGAGAAAACTCATTAAAAGAGTGTTTAGCATGAGGGATTGTTTGTTATTTGGAATTAAGCAAACTCATGTGGGTAGGATAGTAAAATACTACCTCTGCCCATGATATTTCTCAATTCCACCGATATGGGTTTGCTCAATCCCAAGCAACAAGTAATCCCTCATACCAAACACTCTTTTAATGGGTTTTTTCAATCTCAATTCCAATCCTTACTTCTCATTCTCAATGATTAATACCAAATGGAACCTAAGAGTATTTATTGACCAGCAACAGAAATAATGGACCTGATGACCAGACATGAAGAAAAAAAGCCACTGAACCCAAAGAAGTAGGTGGACTAGCTGATTGAATTTAATGGTTTCAATTTTATATAAATAAATCTATATTTGATCTGAACAATTCAAAACTATAACGGAGGTGCATTAAAGGGAGATGCAGCGGAGAGAAACTGAGGGGTTGGAACAAGGCTCTTTGATGAAGACAATGATTCTTATTGTGCCTAGTATACTAAAAATTATTAAAAACAGGAGGGGGGGGGGGCTCACATGAGGTGCTACGTATTGTTATTGTCACTAGTGAATGTAAGAGTACTCACAGAATTGGTTTTTGCAGTAGTGAAAAATTTTGATGCCTACTACTGACCTTGCTCATTGCTAAACCAACAGCCAGACAACTGTACAGAACATGAGTGATCCCAAGCACAAACAAGAATCGGTGCAACTGCTCAAGACCCTCATATGAAACGAATGGTTCATGCCCCTGCATTTATTTATAAATTAAGACAAGATCTCAAGTATTGATTAATCAAAGGTGACTCCAACATAATGAAGAGAGTTATCTAAGATTTTTTTAAAACAAAGAAGAATCATAATGAAGGGAATCATCCATGTTTCTATCATTGTATGGAGTTCAAAGAATGAATTACACTAATTTTGGTTTGTAGATAGCATGACTTGTTATAGATTTTATGTATATGTTGATACTTCCTCTCTATTATAAAGCACCTCTAACCACTTCACCAGAACCAAGGAAAGGTAGTTACATCATTAACTTTATCTGAAAATAGAATAAATTTCTGATTTTACCTATATTTAAATAAAAAATTTCAAATTTAAATTACGTTATCTCTCATTCTTAATAACTTTAAATAGGAGTGATATTGGGAAAACTTAATTAACACCCTATCAAGCGATTCATAATAAGGACCATCCATCTCTTCTAGAAGGTGCCTTGTAATAAGGACCTGAGGGAGTATATTGATTGTATGATTCAGGGGATTATTCTAGAGATGATCTATATCGGTCCTTTCCATTTGTTCTGAGACAGTTCACACCTAATCTTGTCATTCTTTCTCAGTTTTTCCTTCTGATCCCTCTCTATTCAGCTGGCTCTAAAATCTCTCTCTCTCTCTCTCTCTCTCTGTGTCTGTGCTGTCAATTCATGGCAACTTCATTTAAGTACATCAAGTGATTACCTCCTCCACAATCTGCTGGCTATCCCACTTATTGGTTAAGTGCATCAAGCACCTTTTTATTCAGTGGAAATCAATTTTCCTAAACACGTGATTAGTATACCACACTGAGAAAGCAACGCCAAATAGAAAAGGATATTACCTCAGGACACTGATGAAATGCACTGGTAATAAGTTCCTTCGAGGTATCAGTGTTGTTAGCGAAAGGGAATGGACTTTCAAGCATGATTCTTTCATTCTTTTCAAGGCCATCTTCCTCAGAACAAATATAAAATTGGCTGTTGAAAAGAGACGATTTTACACACATCTCAGAGATCCACCGTGCGCATTGTGCCAACAACAAAGAGATTAGCCCAAGCAGCATCAGCTCTAGCAGGAAGAATCAATTTCAATAAGAGACAAAATCATATATCAACTCCACAGCTCTACACAGTCAAGGAAAAATATTTTACTAAGGTTACCAAATCGAGCATGGATCCTCTCAAGCATGGGAATCCTAAGGTTTCCTATAATGAAAAATGATATAGACACATAACAGTGGATCCCACTTTTGACACATAGGCCCCATAAAAAGTAAGCCAACTGTTGTGTGTCCATCTCTCTCCTTACTTTATGTAAAGTCACTTTAGGGATTTCGGATCATTCCAAATCGATTACATAATAAGATGTAGAGTATTCAAACTCTCAATCTTTATTCTTGTATTTGTGAAGGGTTAAAGCACTATTTAGTATTTACCTTCCTTAATTTTCTCTAGTGAAGCATAAAGTGCCTTCCTTCTTGTCTTCTGCAACCACTGCATGCCAAGGGAAAAAAAACACTTCATACTTTCATGAGGTTTAACAGCTATTTTCAGTCTTCAGTTTTCTTGTCCACTGCTATTTTGATATTAAACTCCAATCACACGTTCCAGATGTGGCAAGCAGAGGTAGATATAAGCTACAAGGAAAATTTTCAAATAGAGAGTGACCCTCCATCAACTTTTAAGTTTAACCATTATAGATTTAGCATTTCCTAAAGTAATATATCTGAAAAACATAAAACCAACTTCCCAGAATCTCTCAGCAACTAGAGAAATGGCATGTGAACATACATATGCCCAGATCACTGGACAAAGCTTCAATTCATTTTCACTTTGGCTTTTAGCAGTTAAACATTGTGTGTCTTTCTCTCAGAGTTCTATCACAGGAACAGGAACTAAACTGTAAATAGCTATATTTAGCATTTTATTCCTCAGGCAATAACCTTAAGAACAGAAAAACTACTTCCCTTTACCTTCCCAAATCTGCATATTGACCGTTCGACGAAGAAGCATACGAAGACCATGACAGTGACCACAGAGGCAACAGAATATGTGGGCGTTTCAGCCAGGGACCTCCCTCGCTGAAGCACCTCTGCCATCTCTCTCACATCACAAGAAGAAACCGACCCTTTAGCTGAGACACAGAAAGTTGGAAACTTTCATGTCAAAGATGGAATATTTTCTCGGGAAAAAGAGACCCAGATTGAAAAATGTGGATTTGGGCAGTGAAGGATCCAGGAAATGAGGGAAGTTAGACACTGCAAAAGAGAAGCATCATCCCAGGAGGGCAAGAGTTGTTTTATTAGGTATGAAGGGTGCATGTGGGAGGTTTAGATCCCACACATGGCGGAGAACATTATATAGTGTTCAATATAATATAAAACTGGTATTATATACATATGTTGTTATTTTTATTGTCTCACTCACATAGTCCCACTGGGATTGCTACTTTTTATGGAAATTCAGCGTCAACTGCATTGGACCCAGTGCTTTCTGTCTCACCTCTCTCTCCAAATCCAGCCAGTGCACATGGAGAGGGACGAGAGTGTATCTGATCTACCTGGCACTCACCAAGCCACTGGGAGCCTCTAATTAATCCTATACCAAATTTTTATACTCTCCTCAATCTATTTATAAATTATTTTTAACATATTTTACTAACACTAATATAAATTTTAAATTTTATTAATTCTCATTTAAAATTCAACAACATTTCAATTTTATCTCTATTTAATTTATAATAAACTAAATATGAATAAAATCAAAATAATAATAGATGAAAGGTAAAATTATATATTCACATAAATTTTTTTTCTTTCTGCATTATAAATAGAATGAAAAATTTTTCTCTCCTACTTTCTTATAAATATGATTAGAGGAGTAATAACTATATATGTGTGTGTGCATGTATATTAAATATCTCATAAAACAAGTGTTTGAAATAATTAGGAAATAAAATGAAACAGAAAAAAGTATTAAATGAATATACTTTTAGAAAGATGAGACAATTTCAAGTAATTTGGATGATTTGTGTGATATTATTAACAATTAAAAATATTTTCAATGCCAACACGTACGCACGTATATAATATATGCATCACACAATTTTATTGTGCACCTCACATATTTGTTTTACATATTTTATATTTATATTTTGACTTAATGAATTTTTGGTTTAATACAAACTTTGATCTTTCAAATTTACTATTATTTTGGTTTTGGTCCATCAAGTTTTAATCCTAAGGTTTTGGATATTCAAATTTTTTTTATTTAAAATATTGATCTTTATAATCTAATAAAAAATTAGATCATTTTGTCCTTTGAGAGAACAAAACCAAAATGAGGGCAAACTTAAAAGACTAAAAATTATATTAACCCAAATTTTTATTTTAATTGATTTGAGGTTGAAGAGTTTTCTATAAGCATCTTTTTAATTCTCTCCCACCCTCGAAGGGTTTTCTCATTGCCTCAACTTTTCACATTAGAGATTCTTTTCTCACTATTAAAACGTTAGGATTTTTCTTTTGGACTGAAAAAAGTTTAGGATTTAATAGAACTTTAAGTCTTAGAATGCTAGCCAAGGTTAAAAAAAATAATTCTTAGAATGCAATTTAATTGATTTGGAATAATTAATTAAATAAATTAAAATTATACTTCTTCCAGTTCAAAATATAAGTTAAACTTTATCCATTTATGTTTATCAAGAAATTAGTTAAAATCAGTTTAAAACAATAAATATGTAAGGCATATATTTTTTCTCCAAATATGCCCTTATTAATAAAGAGAATAAGTAAAATATGTAATAAATGAATTAAAAAGAAAAGAGAATATTTGGGAATAAAATTGAAAAAAAAACTCATTAAATGCTTAGACGAAAGTAAATGTTATCTTATAAAAAAAGCCCCTCCAACAAAGTTTAGTTTATATTTTGAATCGGAGGGAGTATCTTGTAATTTCTACATGTTGACAAGTGCAATAATATACACATGAAATTAATTGTTGTAACATTAATTTTAGTTCTATGAATGAAAAATGTTTTAAGTAAAATCAATATTAGAACAAACAACTTTTTCTTAAATATTTGACAAATCTAAAGATAAAACGTTAGGTCCAAATATTATATGCTCCCTCCCATCGAGGAGAACTTTTTTTAGGAATAACATGTCCCTATTATATTACTCGGAGAATTACAATTAAGTGCTGAAAAAAAAAATACTAAAAAATCCTAATAACAATATAAGCAGCATGTAATGACAAGTTTCAGAGTAGAGAATGACAATCTCTAGAACTTATTTTGAAAATTTTTTTTCTTAAAACATTATTATAATTCTCCCTATAGTACTAGCATGTCTGAGATGTTTTGGAAGAGAATAGCATGCCTACAAAGTTTAGTATCATTTTTTTTCATTTTGTTCCAGTTAAAATTTGATACTTAATATTATCTCTGATTCTAATTATAGACCTCATTTGTAATCTATAATCAGGACCAAAAGTAACATAAAATTTAGTTGACTAATTTAAAAAGATTAGAAAAGTTTTTTTATAACATATGTTGCATAATTACTCTAAAATATTTATATGGATTGTTAGATTATATATCAATTTATAAGTAAGACAAATTAATTTGAAAAAAATAATAAATATAAATAATTTAAAATAATTTAGTAACTTTCTTAAATATTTTTTAAATATGTCAATCGAGTTTTCTATTAAGGGCAGAAAGTAGTATCATTTATTGGTTAATATCTCACCTCATTGACTACTGTATACTATGTCTATTTGGTCATTTGTTCTCTCACACATCCTTTTTGCATAAATAATGATGTTTTTGAAAATTTAGTTATTTTTTTTACATATTTATTATTTTTAATCAATTTTAATAAATGTTTAATATATATGATTTAATTATTTATATTTTATAAAAAGTATGGGAACATACATAATAATCCAAAAAAAGCAATTATAACATCACAATGATTTTACTTCATGTTAACTAGTGGAAAGTAGACTTGGAATTGCACGGCATTGAGGAGAAGAATGTCATCAACATTATGTTCAATGAAGTTTTATCATACAAAATTTGTTAATTACATTTTTCATTTCCTCTCATCTTATTTATATATCAGAAAAAATATTTATTTTTATACGTCACATTATTAAAATTATTTACATGTTTATAAAATTTTACTATTTATTTATTATTGTATATATGATTATTTTTAATATATATTAAATAAAATTAAAATTAAAAAATATTAAATTTTAAGATAAAACTAATGAGATCTAATGTTTTTTTATTCTAATAAAATATGCTACGCGTAACTTATAAATTAAATTAGTGAAATAATTTTTTTTTGAAAAAATGGTAAAAAATATCTTTTCAATTTTAAAATAGATTTTGGCATGTTAAAATTTTTATAAAATAATCAATAATCAATACTTTTATAAGAATAGTCAGTATCACCTATTTATCATTTTGAAATTCAATAATTATTTTTTTTGATACATTGAATATTTTATTTTTATTGGTGATGTTGATTTTCTTTATTATTTTTTTTAAATTTTTAAATATATCCATTTTCCCATTTAAACTCATACAAGAGCCTGAAACTATTCGTCTGAAGAGAGATGGCTTCCATATGTCCCCTGCCAGTTCCCGCCATTTTCGGCTCAGAAACTCTCTCCATCTCCCCCTTCTCCTTCTCATTGCGATGATGGTCCACAAGTTATCTCTCTTCCGATGAAACGTTTTCTGAATACAAACTTTGTCGTTCTTTTATTTGTTGATTTTCCTTCTTCTTGGATTTTCTGGCTCAACTTCCTCGTATGGTTTCCAGGTAGTCATTGTTTTCCCATCTTGTGAGCTCGTTTTCTGAGTTCCTCTGACTCCACATTTTTGTGCTAAGCTTTAACGAATTCCGAATGGGGTTCATGGTTGTATTCCAATCGTTTATAACATCTGATTTTGAGTCACTATGGATTAATAAGAAACAGATAAATTTTCTCGATCCCGCTATTCATGCCGTATCCTGTTTTACTTGTTACAATTAGACCTTTTCCTCCTCGGTTTTAATACAGGAAGAAGTGGTAATCACTATGACATTTTGTAGTTTCATTATGTTGTCTATCACTTTTGTATTTGGCTACCGTACATCTTTCCGCCGTCTTATTTTACTTTCCATTATAGACATGTTTACACTTGCATGAGTTCTGATCGGACAAAACGAATTATAACTTACATTTGGATTTTTCAATATATTGTTTATTAGTCAGTCTACTTTCCTGCAATCTAATATTGACTAGAAGGTTCATGACTGCGATGATAATATGGGCAGTTTGCTTTACAATACATCACAGAGATTTGCATTTTATTTCTCTAACTAAAGGTTTTCTCCATTTGAATTATGTTTAATTGTTCTGAAGCCCTCCTGAGTGTGTATGCATAAACGGTGCACAATTTGAATCTTTTCCCCTTCTCTTTTTATGGCCAGGTTTCTGCGGAGAATTCCATTTTGGATCAGTTTATGTATGGTAGGATTTAAAGAATAAAAGCAAGGTACTTATGGGGCTTCATGACTCTCTTTGACTGACACCTAGGGGATACATCCAGAATTTTGTCCTTGCTGCCTGAGAAGAAATTATGTTATGTAAGAAGTGTGAATCTTAATGAGTTCTCCAGGTGAAGTGGACAGCCAAGGTGACAAGCCCCAGAATGAGGGGCTTAAATGTGGCCTTAAAGAACCAACTTTCTTGTATGGTGACTTGGATCTGTATGTATTAGAAGCAAGAAATCTTCCAAATTTGGATATGTCGTCTGAAACAATGAGAAAATGTTTCACTATGGGTAATAATTGTACTCCTCCCTTCATGAGAGCACGCAGGATAAGCACTGGGAAATATCATGTAGATACAAGTGATCCCTATGTCTCTGTCGTTCTGGCAGGGGCTACTGTAGCTCAAACTCGAGTAGTTCGTAACAATGAGCATCCTTCGTGGGATGAGCATTTTATTGTTCCAGTGGCTCACCCTGCTGAGAAAGTGGAGTTTATTGTGAAAGATGATGATGCTCTTGGGGCTGAAGTCATCGGAGCCGTAGAGATACCTATTCAAAAGATTTTGTCTGGGAATACTGTTAATGATTGGTTTCCAATTAATGGTGGGTTCTCAATTTTCACAAAGGGTACTCCTGAGTTACATATCTCTATTCAGTATAAGCCATTTGGAGAAAACCCTTCAGACAAATGTGGCATTGGAGCTGGAGAAGATCATCCTGGTATTCCTAACACATATTTTCCTCTTCGAAAAGGAGGGAAGGTGACGCTTTATCAAGATGCACATGTACCAGATGGTAAACTACCTAACATTCCACTTGATAAGGGAAAAGTCTTTCAGCAGGGTAAATGTTGGGAGGATATTTGCCATGCAATTTTGGAAGCTCACGAGCTGATATACATTATAGGATGGTCTGTTTATCACCCTGTAAAGCTTGTCAGAGAACCAACAAGACCCTTACCTGCTGGAGGAGAGCTTTCACTTGGAGATTTGTTGAAGTATAAGTCACAAGAAGGTGTCCGCGTGGTTATGCTGATCTGGGATGACAAAACTTCGCATGACCATTTTTTTTTGAAAACAGTACTTCTGATTACCCTAATGATAAAATTAAACATGATTTCTCTTTTGGAGTTCATATTGACTCTTCGAATTCTGGGCAAGTTCTATTTTCTCCACGCCAGTGGTCTGCTTTTAAACCAAATCATAGAAGATAATATTACATTGAAATACTGAAAAAAGTATGAATTCAATTGAATTTCCTTCTGGATTTTTACTGTGACCCTCAACAATTTGATGCTAGTGTAATTCTCAATAACTTGGGGCTAGGTAGACTCGTGAACGTAATTTTTATGAGTTGTGTAACCTTTTTGATTGATTGTAGATAAGGAGAGCATAGCAATGTTTTACACCTGCATCACTGAGATTTACATTATAGTTCTTCAGAAAACAATAATTGATTTAATTGAATGCAGGATGGCATCATGCAGACCCATGATGAAGAAACTAAGAGATTTTTTAAAAACTCCACTGTTCATTGTGTGCTTGCTCCACGTTATGCAAGCAATAAGCTCAGTATTTTCAAGCAACAGGTATGAAATTCTCGTGCTTACATATACACATGTAGGATGAAAATATCGAGCTTTGCCGCATCATCTCAATCATTATCTTTTTACTGAGAATTCAATCAATAGTCATTTATAAAATTGAATATTTTGGTCCAGGTTGTTGGAACACTTTTTACGCATCATCAGAAGTGTGTGCTTCTTGACACTAATGCTTGTGAGAATAAACGGAAAATAACTGCTTTTATCGGTGGTCTAGATCTATGTGATGGCAGATATGATACTCCTGATCATCGGCTCTTTGTTGATTTAGACACTGTCTTTCAAAATGATATTCATAATCCGGTATTCCCTGTAAGTGGTTATTATGCAATTGCAAAATTACATGGTTACCTTTTGCATACATGGTGAGTCATTGTTTATTTGTTGTGGGCTGCAGCGGAAGCCACATTCAACTAGGAATTAGTTATTGCTATTGTTCATATGTTGTGGATGCTTTCCAAGTGCATGCCCTATTATTTCAATTATTCAACATTTTCTTATGCCGTACATATGTGTACGAGCACATAAGAGTTCATTCATTAGTGTATTCCTACATAGGTTTTTAAGTGATATGTCATCATTTGCATCGCGTTGAAACTATCTGCATCTTGCCAAGGATGCAAAGGAGGGTAATGATAGGTTGTCCGAGCTGCCGAGCTGGAGTACAGTGGTCTAAGTAAACTGAACTCTGTTAGGATAAGTATTAACCTTGAACTTCGCAGATATAAATGTACATTCCATTAAATGTGAGTTCAGTTTTTTTTCTTCATTCCTTGTGCCTTCATTGCAGTTCTTAAACATTCAAATCAAATTTTGACGGTATAGATTAATTTATATTTTTGTACACTGTCAAATACGAAACGTCAAAATCAATCTGACAGTCGACCACCGCAGTGAACCATCCAGTTAGTGGAGGGAAAGCCTTCCTTTCAAAATCCTTGACCCTTGGCCCAAAAAAATTGATGACCCCACTTTGTGAAGGATACAGCACTATCTACTTCTCAGCCCCACTGCGCTAAAGAAAAGGACACAAAAACTACATGTCAGCTAGCATGGCACAACAAATAACAAAACTAAGGATAAAGAAAAGCCTCTCCCTCTACATGAAGCATCCTGGTTGTTGGCATCTCTAATTCTTGAATATTCATCAATCTAAATGCACCGGCAATGCAATTGGGCTTTCTAAAAGGAATGCGTAGAAAGTGTTGTGGCTTACGTATACTTCCTCCTTCTTTTACTGGAACCTTCTCCTCAAGGTCTGAGTTCATGCATCTATCGCCCAATTCCTCAGCATTTTCCCAAGTTGAATCATCTAATGAGATGAACCCCCAGTTATAAAATGTATATTTTCTGTCATTATACCAGAGAATTTTTCTGAAGAGTGTCTTTATAAACATTGGATTTTTTTTTTGGTGGAAAAAGTGTGATTAATAAATAAAAAACTATGGAACAAGGTAACAGATTTTTGGGATTCCAATTTTCTGATATTTTTGTCATTTAAGATCATTTAAAATATCCAATTTGCGGTGTTTGTCTACATTTACTGATATTCTAGCTGTTGATGTTGCTCATGAAGAGCATCAGATTAGTTGATACCAAACCGTTGTAGTCTGCAAACAAATGCTTGCCTGACTTGTTAGCCTTGCATCTAGCAGATTTTCTTTTGCCCTCTGATCTTCATGTTGCAATTTGAGGTTGCTTTCTGTTTTTCTGTAAGTCAGTGATGACATCATGACAATGTTCGCTCTCCATATATTTAGTATTTGCTACAATGTATAATTATTTTCCACATGATTTTGTTGAAGATAGAAGGAAGGTAAAATGCACGACTTGGCACCTAAAAGGCTAGAAACTGAAAAAGAAAGGTACATGGAACTTTGCTGAAGTAGACTGTATAAATTGTGTTCTATGTGATACAGTCAAATACTGGAGTACCAAGGGAACCATGGCATGACCTGCATTGTAAAGTTGAGGGTCCAGCTGCATATGATATATTGACCAATTTTGAACAAAGATGGAGGAAAGCCAAAAAGTGGCGTGAATTCAAGTTAAAAAGGGTGACGAATTGGCATGATGATGCTTTGCTCAGGTTAGACCGTATTTCATGGATTCTAACGCCATCATCTGGTGCTGCTGGCGACCAAGTTGTTCAGGTAACTGATGAAGACGATCCAGAAAGCTGGAATGTGCAGGTATAAGGGAAGTATGTTGACATTCAGTGACGTGTATCATTCTTCTTTAAAATACCTTACTAATATTATGAACAACAATAAAATGCAGGTATTTCGGTCCATAGATTCAGGATCTGTCAAGGGTTTTCCAAAGGATATTGAACAAGCTAAGGCTCAGGTGAGAATAAAATTGTAAATGTGATGGAGACTAAGATAATATGAAATGACTCAGTTTCACATTGAATAGTGTGGGATGTTTAATGAGGTATTAAGTGGATTGATTCTCTCAACTTGATAGCTAGTTTTTGGGTGAAGGTTCCTTTTTCCACTTCAGTAGCCCTCAGAACCATGCCCACTTGGCTACTTTAAGATATATAGAATGGAAAGGAAATGAAGGAAGACTAGAAGAAAATAGTGATTTTAAGATTAAAAAACTCTCCTCTTACTTTCAAGCGGTAATACAGTAGATTTTTTAAGTAGTTATTATAAAAACATGATAACTATTCTGCAAATAGCATGGAAAGGATTTTATTTCCATCTTTGTTACCAAATGTGCCCTAAGACTTGTTATCTTTCTAAGGCTTAAAAATTGTCCATAGTGTACAAATAGCATGAAAAGGGGTTCTCTTTCCATCTTTGTCCGAATCTGATCATTAACTCGTCTTGGCAGAGTGCTTTTGCATGATATTGAAATAAACCTGTTTTGGTCTTCCAGTTCTAATCCTTCTTTTCCGCAGCATCTTCTCTGCGGAAAGAACTTAAAAGTAGACAAAAGTATCCATACCGCTTATGTAAAAGTAATAAGATCGGCCCAACGCTTCATATATATAGAGAATCAGTATTTTCTGGGATCCTCATATCATTGGCCTTCGTATCAACATGCAGGTAATTTGAGGAAAACTTTTAGTATCACAGTTTTTAAAAAACATTTGTTCAGACTTTGCATTATTATACTTGCTAAATGAAGTTGCATATTTGGTTTTGTGTGATTTGTGATTTTGTATTCCTGATTGCAGAAGTTTATATAGATTAGCCTCATTACTGTTATTTATAAGATATTCGTATATTATGAATGTAAAATGCATCAGATTTAGGTGATGCATCTGCGAGTCTATTAAAAAGCACGATGCAGGAATCAGGGCATTATGAAATTAGTAGCAGCTTGAGTCCGTAATTTTCTAATAGCATTTTGAATAAGAAGGCACCAGTTATTATATTTTTATTGTTAGCTGATAGGACCCTCTACTTAAAATCAAGAAATAGAGAACAAAAAATGGGATAAATGAGACTAATCACTATATTACTGCATAGTAAGTTAGATTACAAGGGGTAGGATGATCTAAGACACATACATCACACTCTCACGCTCAAATACGCAAACAACAATGAACTAACAGTTACAAGCCCAGAAGAAATATAACACCGACCACAACACAAGGACTCTACAATGACTCTACAAACTCACAAAAGAGAACAATGCTTGCCAATCTTTCGAGAGGTTGGCACTCTCCTCCCCTAAGGGCCAAATCACAATTCAAAGTCTCCACACTCCTACTGAACCCAGGAGGACGATTTATAGGCCCCAAGAAGTGACTGTCCCATTCTCCAAAACAACCCTCTCATAGCCTTTTATCATAGTCACCCTATAACAACCCTATCTTTCTACTTCTCTCTCTAGGAAGTCAAAGTTCTGATCCACAAAAACATCTTTTTCCTTTTCATGTATTATCTTAGTTCTCTAAAAGTAGTCCTAACATTAAAATTTAGTTGCCAAATATAATTTGATGTACAGTGGTGAAGAGAAGTGGGGAGAGAGGGGGGAATTCTGAATAATACTCTGGATAATTCTCAAAAACTATCTGATACAATTATATAATAGTTAACTTTCTACCCTCCCTCACTAACGGCTATTATTGTTTACTCCTTTAATTAACACTAACACTATTAACTAATATAACTACCAAATCGTATAATTTTTACAGCTTACACATCAGTAACACTAACCACCCCCCAGGGCACCCCAAAAGGGAAAAAGAACCCTTGACCTCAAGGGTTGAAATAATGAAAGAGGGATGCTGTTTCTGCTGCTTAAAGAGTGAAATTGACAGTGTTTGGCGCTGAATGCTTATTTTATTTCATGGAATCGATTGATACATATAGGGGAAGAAAGAGTTTGACCGAATCTGATCAAATCTAAACTAGGATAATGATAGGATAATAAATCAGATAAAATATCTAACAAATCCTAAAATTATGCAGAAATATAATTGCAGGCAGTTACTAAATAAGCTAGGGTTTGCTGTAATTGGGCCTTTATTGGGCCCACTACCAACACTCCCCCTCAAGCTGGCGAATAGATATTGATCATTCCCAGCTTGCTTGTGAGTTCATCAAACTTTGCTTGAACCAGTGGCTTTGTCATCACGTCAGCAGTTTGTCTTCCGGTAGGAATGTAGGCCAAATCAATCACCTTAGCCTCAATCTTTTCTTTGATAAAATGACGATCAATCTCGACATGTTTTGTCCTGTCATGCTGCACAGGATTACTGGCTATTTTCAATGCAGCCATGCTATCACACCACATTTTTATTGGTGTAGTTTCTAACCCAAGTTCCTGCAGTAGCCGTACAACCCACATTCCTTCACAGATTCCAAGAGCTAAAGCTCTATATTCTGCCTCTGCAGAGCTTCTAGATACAACAGGTTGTTTCTTACTCCTCCATGTTACTAGGTTGCCCCATACAAAAGTACAGTAGCCCGTAGTAGAGCGTCTATCATCGATTGCACCTGCCCAATCAGCATCAGTATATACTTCAATATCATTGTCTTCTTTTGTACCAGGGTTCACCCTTTTTCCATCTGTATATATTTCCACATGCTTTTTATTCCCCTTAGCAAAGAATAATCCTTTCCTAGGTGTATTTTTCAGGTACCTAAGGATTCGGTATATGGCTTCCATGTGCTCTTTTTGAGGTTTACTACTAAATTGACTCACAACCCCTACTGCATAAGAGATATCCGGTCTGGTATGGGATAGGTATATGAGTTTGCCCACCAATTTTTGGTAACGCTCCTTGTTGGTGGCCTTCCCATCTGGTGTGATCTCAAGTTTACAGTTTAGTTCCATAGGGGTCTCAGCTGGTCTAGCTCCTAACATCCCTGTCTCCTTTAAAAGATCCATAGTGTATTTCCTTTGTGACACACTAATACCTTTAGGTGATCTAGCAATCTCCAGTCCCAGAAAATATCTCAGATTCCCAAGATCTTTTATCTCAAATTCTGCTGCTAACCTCTGTTTCAGTTCTGCAATTTCTTCAACGTCATTCCCTGTTAATACTATGTCATCCACATAGACTATTGGCACAGTAATTTTATGATTAGAGTGCTTTATAAACAAGGTATGATCTGTTTGGCATTGTGTGTAACCGAATTTTTTAATGGCACATGTAAATTTTTCAAACCATGCTCTCGGGGATTGTTTAAGTCCATACAAGGATTTATAAAGCCTGCACACCTTATTCTGATTTTCAGAGTTCCGTAATCCTGGTGGTATTTCCATATACACTTCCTCATCTAGGTCCCCATTTAAGAAGGCATTTTTAACATCTAATTGATGTAATGGCCAATCTAGATTGGCAGCAAGAGATAATAGAACATTTATAGTATTGAACTTAGCAACAGGAGCAAAAGTTTCAAGATAGTCAATACCGTAAGTTTGTGTAAAACCTCTAGCTACCAGTCTTGCCTTATACTTATTAATGCTTCCATCTGGGTTGTACTTCTTGGTAAAGACCCATTTGCTACTAACAATAGGCTTTCCTCGGGGCAAATCCACTATTTTCCAGGTCTGATTCTTAGCTAGGGCATTCAGTTCATCCTCAATAGCTGACTTCCAATTCAGGTCACATATAGCTTCATCAAAACACCTCAGGATTTCTTCTTTGTCAATATTAGCAACAAATGCCTTAAAGGATGGGTTGAGCTTGTCATAGGAGACATACCTATTAATAGGATACCTGGTGCAACTTCTCTTTCCTTTTCTTAGTGCAATGGGCCACTGTAGATCTTTGGAAATAGACTCAGGTTGTGAGTTTCATGACTCGGCCTTGGTGGTGCAATGGACTCTTCTCTGTTATCTGTTGTCCCTTCTTCTATTTCGTGAGCTGGGGACTCAAGTCTAGGATCATAGGGAGGTCTGTTGTCAAGGTTTGAAGGTAGCTGTGCAGAATTAGTGATAGACTGTTCAGGTTCAACATTAGGCTGGTCAATGGTGGGGATAGACTGAACCGGCTCATCATAGGTGGAAAGTTGATTAGTGTCGACTGGGATAGTGGACAAAGGTGCTGTTTGGGGGCCATAGCTAGGTAATGATTGGTTTTCGCAATTGGTTTCACTGATATGACCCTCATCACTAACACAAATTAGCCATTCTCTATCACTCTCCCCCTGAATGGGTGATTTGGAGTAAAAAGGAAGAGATTCCACAAATTTGACATTAAGGGTGATATAAAAACGTTTGGAAGCAGGAGAATAACATTTATACCCCTTTTTAGTGGAGGAATAACCCAGAAAAACACATTTTTCAGATTTAGAGCCTTGTTTTCCGCCCTGATTATCAAAAACATAAACTGTGCATCCAAATACACGTTTGGGAAGAGAGTTGAGGAGATGAGAATGAGGATAATGCTCTAAGAATTTTTGAACAGGAGTCTGAAATTTTAGTACTTTGGAAGGCATTCTGTTAATTAAATATGCAGAAGTAAGAATGGCATCTCCCCAAAATTTGATAGGAACATTTTTATCAATCAAAAGAGCCCTTGCTACTTCTAAAAGATGTCTATTTTTCCGTTATGTTACACCATTTTGTTGTGGTGTATGCACACAAGAAGTTTGATGGTGAATTCCATTTTCAGCAAGAAATTTTTGAAAATCCACATTAATATATTCTCTGCCATTATCACTTCGAAGAATTTTTATTGAAGTTTGAAATTGATTTTGAATAAAAGCATGAAAGTTCTTGAAGATAGAGAAGACCTCTGATTTTTCCTTCATTAAAAATACCCATGTTAGGCGAGTATGATCATCAATGAATGTAATAAACCATTTTGTATTGGAGATATTTTCAGTCCTAGATGGACCCCAAACATCACTGTGAATCAGGGCAAAAGGATGTGCAGGTATGTACGGAGTTGGCAAATAAGATGAGCGAGTTTGCTTTGCTCGATGACAAGTATCACAATGAAACTGAAAATCTTTATTGATGGAGTTGGGAAACAGAATTTTCATGTAACTAAGATTTGGATGACCTAACCTAGAATGCCATAGCATTATGTCATCATGAGACATAGCAGAAAAAACTGAACTTGAAATAGAAGAATCAACCACAGAAGTCTTAGAGTCGCCTTCTAGATAGTAGAGTCCATGACACTCCTTAGCTTTGCCAATCACCCTCCCCAAGGCTAAGTCCTGAAAATCACAGTGAAATTTGTCAAATATTGCACGGCAATTTAATTGGCAGGTGACACTTTTAACAGACATTAAATTACACTTGATCTCAGGTACAAAAAGAACATTATATAATGTAATAGTGGCTGAGATAGTGATAGTGCCGGATCCCATGACCTTTGCATATGTATCATTGGCCACTTGAACTCGGGAGTATTCAGAATCGGGCTTAAAATCAGAGAATAATTCACAAAATCCGGTTATATGATCTGTGGCTCCAGAGTCAACTACCCAAGTGTTTTTTATTTTGTGAGTAGCCAAGAAAATCATACCTGCATGTGCTAGAGTAACTTGAGGGGTCGTTTTATCACTTGTTTTATCCTGAGTATATTTGTCTAGGATTTTCCGGAGAATAGAAACCTCTTCCTGGTTCAGAAACTCACCGTCCTGCATGTTGCTCACTGTCATACCTTTACTGTCCCCTTTTGTTCGGTGTCTGGAATGAGCTGGTTTTCCATGAATCTTCCAGCAGGTGTCTCGTGTATGACCATTTTTATTGCAATGATCACACCTTAGAAATTTCTTTCCTCTAGATTCATTCTCAAGATTGCCACGGATGACCATGGCTAAGGCATCAGCGGAAGGTAGAGCTCGAGGTGTTAATTGGAGTAATGCCTTACGACTCTCCTCGTTCTTGACCATATTAAAGGCCTCTTCAAGTGAAGGGAGAGGCTTTATCCCCATAATTCTGCCTCGTATGTCCTCACAGGTGTCGTTAAGTCCCAATAGAAAGTCATAACAGCGATCCCGATCAACCACTTGTTTGTAGTATGTTTCATCGGTGTGACAGGTCCATTGATGAACATCATACAGATCGATTTGCAACCAAAGTCACATGAGTGCACTGAAGTACTGGGTTACGGTTTGCTCCCCCTGAACCAGACTACGTAGGAGCCGTTTTACCTGAATTGTAGCGGCAGAATTTTCCTTAACTGAGTACGTTCTCCTGGCCGATTCCCAGATTTCACGAGCCGAACTAGCAAGCAGGTAATTTTCGCTGATTAAGTGGCAAAACCCAGGATTAAGTGGTGGCAGTTAAAAGGAGAGAAGCGGGAGTTATTCAAAAGGACTCTTTTGAAGGAAGGGAATTGGGAGTTGCAGGGAAATGCAAACATGATGTGGGAAGAGATAGCTACAAGGGTTCGTTTGGTAGCTAAAGCAATTTTGGGAGAATCCAAGGGTCCTGGTCAAAGAGATAAGGAGACTTGGTGGTGGAATAAGAGTGTGCAAGAGAAAGTCAAACAGAAAAAAGATTGTTTTAAGGCCATACACTTGTGCAATAGTGTAGAGAACCAGGAAAAGTATCAGTTGGCTAAAAAAGAGACAAAGAGAGCAGTGAGTGAAGCATGTACTAAAGCTTATGAAGGGTTTTATCAGGAGTTAGGAACAAAGACGGGAGAAAGAAATATTTACAAGATCGCGAAGCAAAGGGAGAGAAAAAAGAGAGATCTGGATCAAGTTAAGTGTATAAAGGATGAAGATGGTAAAGTGTTAGTTACTGATGGTGATATTAAGGACAGATGGGAGGTTTACTTTTACAAGTTGTTTAATGAGGGAAGCAATTATGCGACTCAGGACTTGCAGGACTTGCTAATTAACGAAGATGATCGGAATTTGGCTTTCTACCGCAGGATACGTATCGGAGAGGTTAAGGCGGCTCTCAAGAAAATGGACAATGGAAAAGCCGTTGGGCCTGATGGTATCCCTATTGAAGTTTGGAAATGTTTGGGCAATGAGGGGGAGGTATGGCTAACCAAGCTTTTTAATGAAATTCTACGCTCTAAAAATATGCCGGATGAGTGGAGGAAAAGCATTTTAGTTCCTATTTACAAGAATAAAGGAGACATTCAAAACTGTGCAAGCTACAGGGGGATAAAACTTATGAGTCATACAATGAAGTTGTGGGAAAAAGTGATGGAATATAGATTGAGGTTGGAGACTTCTATTTCGGAAAACCAATTTGGATTTATGCCAGGGAGATCCACATCGGAAGCAATCTATTTACTAAGGGGGTTAATGGAGAGATATAGAAGTAAAAGAAGAGATTTACATATGGTTTTTATTGACCTGGAAAAGGCTTATGGTCGTGTGCCAAGAGAAGTATTGTGGAAGGCTTTGGAAAAGAAAGGTGTACGGGTTGCGTATATCAAAGTCATACAAGATATGTATGAGGCGGTAACTACCAGTGTAAGGACGCCTGGGGGGGAGACAAAGGACTTTCCTATTAAGATTGGCCTACATCAGGGATCCTCTCTGAGTCCGTACTTGTTCAACATTGTTCTGGATGTTCTAACTAAACCTGTTCAAGAAAGAATCCCTAAGTCCATGCTCTTCGCGGATGATATAGTTCTTATGGCGGAATCAAAAGAAGAGATTAACATTAGTTTGGAGTTATGGAGAAGGACTTTGGAGTCGAAAGGTTTCCGTTTGAGCAGGAACAAAACAGAATATATGCATTGTGATTTTGGAGGGAGGCAAGGTAATAGGGATTTGGAGGTGAGGATGGGAGAGCAAATTATTCCTCAAGTATCAAAGTTTAAATACCTAGGATCCATTATACAGGAGGATGGGGAAATTGATGGAGACATTTCTCATAGAATACAAGCTGGCTGGTTAAAGTGGAGGAAAGCTACCAGAGTTATTTGCGATAAGAAGGTACCTGAGAAACTTAAAGAAAATTTTATCGGACTGCTATAAGACCAGCTATGATGTATGGTAGTGAATGTTGGGCAATAAAAGGAAAACAAGAGCACAAAGTCGGAGTAGCAGAAATGAGGATGTTGAGATGGATGTGTGGTCATACAAGAAAAGATAGGATTCAAAATGAAAAGATCAGGACAAGAGTCGGTGTGGCACCTATCAAAGAGAAAATGGTTGAAAATCGCTTAAGATGGTTTGGACATGTGCAGATAAGGCCTTTGGAGGCCCCGGTGAGGAGGGTGGATCAAACAAGATGGAGTCCCATAAAAAGAGGCAGGGGAAGACCGAGAAGAACGCTGAATGAGGTCATTGAACGAGACCTCCTAATCAACAACATATCTAAGGATTGGGTTGTTGACAAAGCACGATGGCGTCGTGTGATTCATGTAGCCGACCCCACCTAGTGGGATAAGGCTTGTTGTTGTTTTTTTTTTTTCCTGGAGTCATCGAGTGCACTAACCAGGTCATTACCAAATTATCTTTGGCCCGCCATGTATCGAATTGGGAATCCTCAGTTGATGGTGGTCTGGGATCCCACGTGAGGTATTTCTCCTTGTGTCGTCCTCGAACAAACATAAGCACGTTCCTGGACCATTGTAGGTAGTTGTTCCCGTTGAGTCTGTGGGAGATAGTGATCTGCGATAGTGAATCCGACGCTGAACTCAGAGATGAAGATTGGTTCGAGGGTCGATTCGCTGCAGCATTGGTCCCGCTGTTCGAGCCATTGCCAGTCGCGGCCGAGGATGAGTTTTCCGGACCGCTGGCGGTGAAGGCTCGTGGAGTACCCATCAGCGCCGCTTTGAAGGTCATGATCGCTCTGATACCATGACAATGTTTGGCGCTGAATGCTTATTTTATTTCATGGAATCGATTGATACATATAGGGGAAGAAAGAGTTTGACCGAATCTGATCAAATCTAAACTAGGATAATGATAGGATAATAAATCAGATAAAATATCTAACAAATCCTAAAATTATGCAGAAATATAATTGCAGGCAGTTACTAAATAAGCTAGGGTTTGCTGTAATTGGGCCTTTATTGGGCCCACTACCAACAGAAATCCTAGCTTGTCTCTTCATCCAGAGGACCCTTCCACTGCACTAACACCTCAGTTATGACCTTACCCTTTTCTTCCCATTCTCTTGTTCAGAATCTTTTCTAGAACCAAGTTAGGAGGCAGAATAGGTGGATGACGCTGTTTTACCTATGGATCAGGGCATAATTTCAATAGGGAGATATGAAAAGTAGGATGAATCCTCGATTCCGGAGGAGGTTCCAATTATAAGCCACTGGACCTATTCTTTGGATGATCTATAGGGCGCAAAATATCTTGGTGCCAATTTTTGAGAACTTCTAGAGGCTGCAAATATCTGCCAATGAGGTTGTAGCTTCAGAAAAACCCATTGGCCCACCGCAAACTCGTTATCTATTCTGAGCAGATCTGGTTTTTGTTTCATTCTTTTCACAGCCCTGCTTAAATGATGTTTGACGATTGATAGAGCCTCTTCCCTTGCTGAAAATGATCTATCAACAACTTCTAGAGATGCATCTCTAGTAAAATAGGGCATAAGCCTTGGTGTTTGCTGTCCATATAGCAATTCATAAGGTGTAGCCTTTGTCGAGGAGTGAAAAGTGGTATTATACCCCCATTTAGCCAAGGACAACCACTTCCTGATATGCAATGCAAGTAATTCTCTAGACATCAATTGAACTTCAGATTGCCCATCCGATTGAGGATGGTGGGAAGAAGTTAATTTTTGTTCTATTGACGGTAAATTGTTGGTGGCAATGGTTCTTTGAAGAGTAGAAGGAGAATAGGTGAAGAAAAAAGTAGTGCACAGTGTCTTAAAAATGTAGGCAACAGTTCTCTTTAGACCTAATTTGCCCCCACCAATTCCAATCTTAGGTTGAAAATTGGGTTGTCTAGCGAATTTTTTTCAGAATACAATAAAGACTCTTGAATATAGTTTGCGATACCAAAACTCAAGCCAAGACAACAATGATTTTTACAAAATAATAATTTGACTTTATCTCTGAATGCACTCAAAGACAAAGGCAATATGTTTGATATTGTGTTTGTCATGTGTAATGTGCAAATGGACTAAGGGAGTGATGGTGAGGGGTATACATAGACTTTGAAGTGACGCTTTGAAAGACACAACATATCTCTTCAGTTAAAAGTTATAATCATATGTCGGTTTATAAACCAATATATCTTTAATAACCAAATGTTATTTAAAATAACTTATCCATGAAGAGTCACTCCTTTTAATATGTAGGATTTTTTTTAATCAGCAAGTGGTGCTTACCACACCTTTAGTTATAACCTTTCACAGGTGCTTTTAGAAACCAAATAGGTATAACCTTTGTACTCTTAGTATTATAACTCCATACGCAACTCTTCACATAAATTCACTAATGTATGAGGAAAAAAGATAGGACATGACCTTTCAAAAGACGCGTCACTTCATTTTGAAGGTATTCCAACATAATTCTCTGTTTTTAAAAAAGAAAATTTCAAAGTTTTTGTCCTTTTATATCGTCATTATTATGGTTTCAATATGTAAATTTGCATTTGAAAAACACATAATTTTGTGGATTATTTTTAAAATTTTTTTAGGGGTTATACGATGAAAGTAATTTTGCGCAAAGAACATGAATTAGCATTGACGTTATTTTGGGTGTATATATGAGGGGCCTGATAATTGAGAGGAGTGATTTTCTTAGAGTTGGGTGGAGTAACTAATTACTGTTAGATCACCAATTAATGGTCTAAATTAGTGATTACTTTCAGTTTTAACTTCTCGCCTAAAGTTAATCCAATATTTACCAGAACATTTGTGTGATAGTGTCTTTCTGATAATTGTTTTCCTTAACAGGTGCTGATAACATGGTTCCAATGGAGTTAGCTCTGAAAATTGCAAACAAGATCAATGAAAATGAACGGTTTTCCGTCTATGTTGTCATACCAATGTTTCCGGAGGGGCCTCCAACTAGTAATGCTGTGCAGGAAATCTTATTCTGGCAGGTCAGGTCATTTTTAAGTCTCTTTTTCCATTCTCTGAACTTTGAAACTTGGCAATGTTTGTTGCTTTTAGTCGCTTAAGTCAGATAATCATCATAGGCTGACTATTTTTTCTTCTTGAACTTATTATTAACCGCTGATGATCATCCATTTTGGTGATGGGTGAGAATATGATCTCATCCTGTACCTGAAAGTGGATTTACAAGTTCCATTTTCTGTTAACATAGTCTGGAGTTAAATATTTATCAATTATCACTAAGATACTCGAAATACGAAATTGAGTAGAAATTATGCAAATTTTAGGTTTTCTTTTTAGGCTGATTAAAAAATTCCTCCCCGAGATGATCATGCACGTTCTCTTCTTTCCCTCTACAAGTGGTTGGGGAATAACGAGCTCACATTTGAATGGTTGCAGGGACAGACAATGTCTATGATGTACGGCATTGTTGCGGATGCCCTTAAAAGAAAAGGTCTATCTGATCAATATCACCCCTCGAGATTATCTCAACTTTTATTGCCTTGGAAAGCGTGAAGCTCAATCCACTGAAAGTTCGATATCTATGCAAACAGCTGACCGTGCTCTGTATTATGCCAAACTACACTTTATTAGCTAAATGTGTTGCATGCAGTTGTGAAAACCACAGCTTTCATGATAAAATAGGCACAAATAGCAAACAGTTATTCATTGCTGTGTTCTTTCCTTCAGAAAACTTGGTGGGTTTGTATATAGAAATTTATGTGAACTTTTCATTGGCTTGGAATTCGATCCTTTGAAAGAAGGCAGCTTGTGATGTCATTTCGTGCAGGCTTTGCTTTTGTTATTAAACACTGAGACATGGGGAAAAGGCATAAAAAACATTGCAAATTAAGGGAACATAGAAGACAGCATTTAACCCTGGTGTCAGAGTTATGCTATTTCTGGTTTGATTTTCATTTAGTTTTCAAATTTGCATTAGGAGTGTAATGTAGAAGGATGAAAAGGTTTGGAAATTATAGATATAAGGGACAACCTTCTAACTTATAATGTATAACTACAATGATGAAATATGTTTTTGTATGATAAGTTTAAGTGCTTTGGTCAGGATCTGAGATGTTCTTTGTTAGGTACTTGGATATTAGTTATTCTGTTGGATTGAGCATGGTGCTCAGCCATCAATATTTAGATGAATGCAGGGGCCTAAAGATCCAGGAACATAGAACTTGCAAAGTAATGTTGCAAATTAAAGTTCGTTTGAATTGTTTTGGTCAGGCCAGATAAGATCATATTAAATAGAATTTCCAAGTCAACTTAACCCAGAAATTGGTGGGTTAGTCAGGCCGAGTCTTCTGGATTGACTTGTCTTGATAGTTTTTATATATGTGTCTGTTTAAAAGTGATTGAAGAAAAGTATGTAAATAAAAGATGGAGGTAATCATGATTGCTAGCTCACAATTATCTAATTATGGATCTCTATTTTATGAATTTATTACTTGATTGAATTATTTAATCTCTAAATATTAGAGGGAAAATAGGTGGACGAAATAGGGTGTAATGTTATACTCCTCCGGTCCTAATTATAAGACCCAATTGACTTATTTGAGGAGATTAAGGAAGTAAGTTAAATTGGTTATTTATAATAAATAAGTGTTATCATTTCTAAAATATCCTTGCTAATTAAGTATATTGGCTAAAACTATCATTATTAGAAGGATTATGTTGGAAAAAAATGCATAAATATAAGAGAAAAAATGGATTGGGTCTTATAATTAGGACCAAATAAAAAGTTAAATTGGATCTTATAATAAGGACCGGAGGAGTACCTTTTATTGTCTTTCCTTCTGATTCTACCCTTTTCAGACCCTGACACCTACGTTATAGTGTCAATGTTTGTGTCAGATTGGCTACACCAAAATGGCTCATATTTGTGTGTTTTTTTTTCCCTGTTTCCTCATTCAGGCATCGGTTTACAAATATAGACGTTTTATGATTTATGTTCATGCCAAAGGAATGATAGTTGATGATCAATTTGTAATCCTGGATCTGCAAATATTAACCAAAGATCCTTGGACGGTTCAAGGGACACAGAAATTGCTATGGGTGCCTATCAGCCTCAATATACATGGGCAAGAAAAAATTCTCATCCACACGGTCAGGTTAGAAGTTCCATATTCACTTTTGTACGATACCCTCGTGTAGAAAACATTGCTAGAAGTCATAACCATATCTTTGAATTCTTTGGTAGAAGATATGTTCAGATTATACAATTTCATCTTTTTATTCCTAATGATTCAAATATTCATAATGTTAACGAAGTTTTTTATTTGTTCCCTCACGAAACACCACCTTTACAACAAATTTTGTGTATGTTAACACAGTAGATGAGTCAGCATGATTCATTTTTATCTTCTTTTTTTTTTCCCCCTTGTAGTTATTGAGAGATCAACAATGATTTTGGTTTGTGTAGGTGTATGGTTACAGAATGTCACTCTGGGCTGAGCACCTTGGTGGTCTTGAGGATACTTTCAAGGAACCAGACAGCCTCGAATGTGTTCGACGTGTGAATGAAATTGCCCAGAGCAACTGGAACACATATGTATCTGAGAAAGAGAAGCAGATGAGGGGACACCTAATGCTGTATCCAGTTCAGGTTGGCAATGATGGAAGAGTCAGTGCCTTGAAAGATTGGGAAAACTTCCCTGATGTTGGTGGTAAATTCTTGGATCACACAACTCTCTTCCTGATACGCTAACCACATAATTCAGCTGTCACACTTCGACTGGAAAGAAAATTGCCAGGTGAGAGACAAATAAAAATAATATTTTGAGGAACAAATTCCTTTACCATTTGGTTGGTGTTAGTGGATGGAATTCTCATTCCTTCTCCTTTTTGTTAACATCTGTTTATATTTTTTTGTAATTATTGCCTAAAAAATTCTAGTTGTTTTTACTACTATTTTTTTTTAAAGTAGGGATACAATGCATATATCATTGTCAAGACTCAAATTACCTTTTTAAATTCTATTTCATTCTGTCTATCAAACTAGGGAGTTCTAGTCATACGGATCTCATTTTCTCGGAAGATCAGGCATGATAGTACTAAGTTGTTTTGCAGCTCCAAAAAAGGGTAATAATGGTGAACACATTTGTTTCTGTTCACATTCCTTTTTTTTTTTTTTGGGAAGGATGAAATTAAAGTTAAAATAATTAGGAATTTTAAAGAATGATTTTTTTCTCATAAATATCCCTGTCCCAAAAAAAAAATTTTGTGTTGAATATTGTGGAAGGTTTATTTGTAAATTTGTAAAAGATAATTGTGAATTTATAAATTTCTTGGTGTGAAATGATTCCATTCAAATCACAAAATGCAGGTTGTTTCGTGCAAGTTTATACAATAAATGTTAGATTTGTTAAAGGATGTAAAAGACATTTTTTTGTGCTCTTTGTAGAATGACTTTTCTTCTTCTTCTTTTTTTTCTTCCCATGTAAGTGCTGTTATATTTATAATTTAATATTTGATGGGTTCCTATTGTAAATGAATTTTTTTGGGGGCAAACTTTCTAATTGACTTTTGAGTGATTGATACTATATGGTCCGTTTGGTATGAGAAAATGAAAGGAAAGGGAAGGGAAGAAAAGTTTTAATGAGCTTGATTTTAAAAAAATTAGAAAGTGGGGGGTTTTAAAATTTTAATAAAAAGATGTAAGATAAACAATAATAAAAATTACTTGAGAGCTTTTAACATCACTTTTTAATTTTTTTAAGATTAAACTTATTAAAAAATTTTCCTCTCTCTGATCAATTTTTTTCGTACCAAATGGATCTAGGTGTAATTTTTTTTTCACATACTGACCCTATACATCTTATTGTTTTCAGTAATTACCATATGTGAAACAAATCATGTTAGCCATTACATTTATGTATTTTCCAAATAGTTATTAATTCAATCAATATCAATAATTGAATGGTTTAAAACAACTAAATTTTCAATTGGTTCAACTTTTTTTCAAGTGAATTTTAAGATGTTTCCAGTCTGTGTTTTTAGTACTCATCATTTTAATTTATAAAAATATTGTGTCCTAGTCTAAAAAAATAATTTTTAAGTGGATTATATGATATTTTCCATTAAATCCAATAGATTTCCAGTCTAAGGTTTGCTTTTAGTAGCCATTTATTAAAAAAAAATTGTCCAACTCTAAACCCGCTTGTTTTCTAAGAGAATTATTTGGTCTTTCCCACTGAATATCAGTGAATACACACACACACACTTTTTGTAACAGACTTTATTTATTCTGTAACAACATTTTTTTTCCTAATCAAAAAAAAAAACAGAGAAAATCGACGCAACTAGTGTAAATTTTTCTTTCAATTTATCATTATTTTTTTAAAATTAATATTTTTAATCACCTGCAAATAGAAATATGACACTTGTAATTAGACACAGAAATTATTAGTAGACAACCTGAAAAGCAACCTAAAAGCACACTTGAATACTTATCCGATTCTAAATATAAAACCTAATTAATTAATTTGACTAGATTAAAGATATTAGTTAAATTAGTTAATATGATTGTTCTTTTTAAACACCCCAATCATTTTTTTAATTTCCTTCCTCCTTCTTCTACAATTCATTATTATTAAGAGAATATCAATAGAATTAATTTAAAAAATTGATAAACATATAAATAAGTCCTTTATATAGGACCAACTTTACTTTTAAATTAAGTCCTACATTAAGTAAGGGAAGAGTAATTTCAAACAACCATTTGGAATGGAAATAGATTTCATGTGGCTTACTATGACCTTTTTTCTTTTCTTTTTTTTTTTGTATGCAAGCTGAAAATTATTTCAACTGGCTTGCTCTTCTTAGAATTATTCTATACTATAGAAAACACAATTTAATTAAAAAAATTATTATTGGACTTGAAAATTATTGGAAGCCTAGTTGAAAAAAATATTTTTAACAAGTTATTGTTATTAAGAGTTGGGTTAGACACTGAGCAATGGGCGGGGTGGGCTAACCCGAAGGTTAGCCCATAGCCCGTCCATTTATTCATAAATAGGCATGAGTTAACCCGTAACCCGGTAGTAGCCCATTTAACCCGTATTAAATGGGTTACGGGGCAGCCCGTTTGGGCTAACCGGGTTACGGGGTAACCCATTTATTTTTTCAAATTTTTTTTCAGTATAGTTATTTTTTATATATAACCTTATGAAGCTGTCAATAAATTTTGCATGCCAAATAGCAAATCAAATATGAAATAACATCAATCATATTCAATCACATAACCTCACTTAGATTTGCAAACATCAAAGTCTGATAAAATCATAAAAGTAGTCACCAATCATAATTTCATAAACTTTAAAAGTTCCAACTTTCACCTAAAGGATAAATAAAAGCTTAGACAAGCATGAAAGTTTGATAAAAGATGAATGAGACAATAATCATCAATTAAATGAAGAATAAAAATATTTTAAAAAAAATTAAAACTTAAACGGCGGGTATGGGCAGCCCAATACCTTGCCCATAGCCCAACCCGTTTAATGGCTACCCGCCCATTTAAGCCCGCCCGTTTATAATCTCTTATTTGGGCTAATTGGGTGGGCGGGTTTAATGGGCAAAAATTTCATGGGTTATGGGCGGGGCTAGCGGGTAATGGGTTTGTTGCTCACCCCTAGGGTTTAGTGATATTTATCATGAAATTTATACTTGTATATTGGTTAAAAATATCAAAAAGGTCAGTTAAAAAATATTTTTTAACCCAAAACAAGTTAAAAAGTTTGTTATATCATAAAATCTTTTATTGTATTAGTGAAACTACTAAGCATTCAAAACCTTTCAAAAAATTGTTTCTATGAGCTGACACATTGGGAACAAATATAAACTAAGTTTTTAAAACTATATACATAGTATATTTGTTTTTAGGTTGCAATCTTCCTATTGTCTCTTTCCATAGATATTTTGAAATGAAAATGACGCTAAAGTTATAAGACTATCATTTAATTTCAATAAAGTCTCCTGAGATTCTAAAATTTTGAACAAGTCCGAAGGCTTTTTAAGCAATCTTACACCCTATTGAAAAGGGCCCAAATGAGGATATTAAAATTTTACCTTAGAGAAGTCCAAAAGTCTTTTGAACAAACACTTGCAATTGCAGCAATAACATCCGGAAAGACTTATTTTATAATATAATAATTACATTATAAAATGAGTTTTATTTTAGAATCGAAAGAGTAACTAAGAGATTTCTAGTAGAGGAATGCATAATCAAGGCATAATGATACATGTATATTTTTTTGCTGCACAACTTGCGAGTCCTTGACTTCATTTCAACTTATTGAACTAAATAAATTACAAAACGAACTACCAATAATAATATACTCCTCCGATCCTTATATAAGATCTAATTTTTGAATTGATTTTGATTCTAAATATGAGACCAATTTCTCATATTTATCAGTTTTCTCTAATTATATCCCAATGGATACTCTCTCAACCATAATTATGTAGAAGAGGGAGATAGTAGTATTAAGAAGATGATTATGGTGTTTTAGAAAAATATGTCACTTTTCTTATAATTAACTAACTTATCTAACTTTTTTAATATAATCAAATTAGTTAAATGAGTTTTATATTAAGGACCAGAAGAGTAATAGATATTGATGTTTCTAGGCAATCTTGCAAGCCCACTCTTGCCAGTCTTTGTCTTCTTGAAATTTGAATATCGATTTAGTACTTTTTGGTGCAACTTTAAGATTACCAATATAATTTGTGATTTATGATAGAACAAGGATTACCATTTTGGACGATACATTACATTAATGGCTAAACATATAATTTGTTGCTGCATAGCAATTGTGGATGGAACGAATGTTGGCTTGGTAATATGTGATTTGAACATTTTAGTTTCACTTCCAAACCAATATTACAGCAATTACAGACCAAGAACTTTGCATGTTATGTTATTCTGATTTTTATTTTCATTTTTTTTGCTTTTCATTCTCCATATTTGCCTTTGGATTCCGCCAACATGAATTGATTTGGTCTATCTATTTGGCTCTGGACCAAATGCGGCTTGAAAAACATTGTGAAAAATTTCAGTTGTGAATCTTCTTGATGTTCAATAAACTTTAGACCCTACATAATGTTCTGCTTTTCCAACAACTCTTGGATTGGCTAGTCTGGTTATAAGTATAGTTCGCCACTATTACTCTACAATTTGCAGTTCTATTATTTAATTTGCAACCATTGTTCCTCCTTTTCGCCCCAATTTGTGCTTTGCTACCTAATTATAGGCTTCCTATTTTGCTGGTCTCATTACGAGAGATATGCATAATATTTTGTCTTTTGTTTTTTGTTTTGGTTTTGTATGTTAATTAGGGAATTGCGACATTCCAAATTTTTCTATACTTTTTTTTATGTAAAGACATCTGTAGTGTGCATTTATATTTATGTTCCAAAATAAAATTAAAGATCACTTAAGGCCAACGCAAGTGGTAAGAGGAAGTGAGAATAGAGATCAAGAGGGAAAAAATTTTAATGAGAGAAGACGTATGCTAATTTTAGTTCTAAATACCATTTAATGAAAAAGAGGATGATGTAGAATAGTATAGTAATAATTTATTTGCGTCACTTGACATCCGACCGCATAGCGCAGTGGATTAGCGCGTCTGACTTCGGATCAGAAGGTCGTGGGTTCGACTCCCACTGTGGTCGAACGTGATCTTATTTTTTACTTTTTTCCCAATCTTC